GGGGGGGGGAAGGCCAAAGAGTTATCTATGTCGTCAGAAACCGGAAAAATTATTTCAATCGTCACGGAAGTGATTTTGGTGAAAAGACGTTAAAATCAGCTTAGATGTGATACAGTGCACTGATGAGAACCGCTCACACTTGACTCAGCGCAAGACTGCTTGAGAAAATAGAACGGGAAAATAGAAAGACAACCCAATTTTATGTGAAAATTGCTAGTCGCATAAAAACTAGTAGATCCAGTGGAAACTCGTTAAAAATTACAGTTTCGGCTCACTGGAAACTCACTAAAAACAGTAGAATAAAGGAAATTTGGCTAAGTGTCATGTGTAGAAAGACATTTCAGTACGCAGTCTATGTTTCATCCCTCAGCTGTAAACACAGAACGAACTTTGCATGCGCGTAGGTGTGGAAATCATCAGTACAGCCGCCTACCCAACAAGTGATGAACATTCATGTAACTAATTTGCAAAGCAGGTAATCTTACATAGAAGACATCGAGCACTTTATCGCCGCTAAATTCCCGCTGCACAATTTCAACAATGTATAGCTCAAATGGTGTTTTGCGTTCGGCCTGGTGTACCACAACTGTTGCTTTTACCCGCCCGTTGCCCATGGTATCCACGCACAAGAGTTCCACTCGTTCAGGGGGATGCAGTGCATCTGCTGAAAATGAAGCAAGCATATGCCGCAAATCAGTACCTGCATCTTGTGCGGAAATTTAGCTTCATAAAATTTCGGTGCTTTTTCAAAAATTTAACAGGAATCTTAAAAGACTAATTCTGACTGCAGTGTATGTGAGCAATTATACTGCGAAAAACTCAAAATGTTACTCTGCACAACAACGGTACCACGCACTGCCTCCTGCCCGTTAAGGAATGGCTGTAACGATGTATCGTTTGTTTCTGATTGCAAACAACCCCATTCACACTAAAATAGTCTTCGTCAGCACCAATACAGCAAACTCAATTAAGCAAAAATCAAAAAAATAAATAAATAAAAATTCCAAGTTAATTTTTATGCTTTCATCAGTTATGGTCCCGTTGTAGCATGCCTTTACGCCAACAGGGCGTGGCAATGGTCATTTAACCGAAGCTGTATCAACTCGTGGTCAGTTTGCTGATGATTATGACTTCGCAAAAAAAGAAGGCCGAATGGATACTGTAAATGTGGGTACCGCCTGAAAAAAAAAGGATTTCAGATTAGCGACAAGCTGAACGGAAACTGCTAAATCGACGACACAAACAGGTTGAGGAAAGAGATATAGCTTTCAGAAGGAGGCGGCATGAAATCAAAAAAATTACGACGTTGCAGTGAAAGTACTGAAGAACACAAACCAGCGTAAAATTAGCGCTGTTACTCACATCCAGGAAGTCGTATGGATCGCCCGAATGAAGAATTCTTCGCCTCACAGTGCCGTACTGCAAAATCTCTTATTGATAAGCAGCAACAAACCACGGGATAAAGTGCAAGGAATAATTCTGCAAGTGAACCTTCTCTCCGCATTCATAGTAACAGCTCGCCAGTTTCAACTTATCACTTGACAGCTCATCACCTGGCACCGCGAATGTCGCGATAGCGATTACAGCGATAACCAACTCCCTCCACATGCCCTGTTCCGTTGTTATTTGCTGAAGTAAGTAATATAAGTGTAAGAAGTTACTATGGATGTGCCAAGGTTCAGTTTTGAGGAATGAAGAACAGATGAGGGGGGAAAATGTCATTGCCCATGCGATGTGATCAAGTTCGAGGAGGCAATATTTTTCAAAAAGGGATCACTATGACAGAATGATCGCTAAAATGTCTATTAGCAGTGTATGTTGAGGGAATGCCAAAGTCTCTAATTTGGGAAAAAAGAATGCAAAATCAAATCAATCAGACCAATCCTCATTCAATTGGAGAAGAGGCAAATTCAAGCGAAGTACTGTTGTTACTAAGGAGTTGCAAACAATGACCAAACGAGCATAAAAATCGGTGAGGAAGAAGCTAGGCTGCGCTAAAAAGCTAACCAACATCAGCAAACAGTGCCCATTTCATGTGGATGGGGACCCAAGACTAGGAGCGGTGGCCAAGCGGCTGGGATACGTGCATCGGACGATCACGGCCCAGTCACGTACAGCTCACGCTTCGCAACCTTTCCGATTTAAATGCAGCGACGCAGCGTCCGTCAGCGCATTGTAACTGAGGGATAGATACTGCTACTGACTCTCCGTCCCTCACTGCTTCCGTCACGCTTAAGTTAGGCGGCAGTCACGTACGACGTGACTGCTGCCCCACCCCTCACACTGTGCCATTTTGACGATAAAGTGACACAAGCAGCGATCGACACGATCCTGGGGGGTTATTTGCCAATGCGCACATCCAGCAGCAAATCCAGCACCTCACAAAAAGCGCTTCCAGAAAAAGCCACTGCAAAAGAACACCCAGCGCTCGAGCACACAGTAACTGTTGACAGCAGCGCAGCGCGCTGATTTCTGGACTTCTGCACTGCAGCTAACTTTGTAAAGCGTGGGGAGTGTGGTGGACAGCGTGAGCCTTCTAATAGGTCTCAAACAAACCACGAAGTTTGGGATTCAAGCTTCTAAGCACTGAGGCAAGTCACAAATTCAGACTGTGGAAATTTGAGCAATAGCCCAGTTCATCATCAGTTTTCCAACTCGTGACAGAGGAGGCATGAGGGAAAAAGGGAGAGTTAAAAAACTGCATTTAAATGAACAAACGAGAACACCATGTTCGGATACTGATATTATCATCTGTTTTTTTATCACAACTAATAGCCGGCCATTGATGCAGCTGGCAAGTACTCCAGTCTTCTCCGTTTTGGTCCTCTCTCATCCACACAACTCCAAATGGCCGTTCAGATATCTTCTATCACCACACTGTTGGCCACTCTAGTGGTTGTTTAACACTGGTTGACTATCGTCCAACAATCCGCATTGTCCAGCTGCTGTCTCTCAATCTCCCTACCTGACCAGCATAGCGTACTTTCTGGTTTGCACTGCTTCAGCACATAAATTTGTGGCCAACCGAAACCGCAGTACTCCTTGAGAGGTGCGCTACACTATACTGCGCTACACTATACCGTTGGGCTCACTCATTGGGCTCCATAGCTCATTGGGCTCACTGCTGTTTCATTTCCTGAGCAAAAGTGACATCCCATGTTTCATCCCTTTGAACCAGAACTGCTATTGTAGTGGAAATGGAAACCGTAGTTTTTGCAGCCGATGCTGTGTTGGTGTTGGAAAGGTTGTTTCGTGATTGGTGCTTTTCGCTATTGCTCTTTTTCTCAAGAGCACACATTGGCTCTGTGCTGAAAAAAATGGCTTTGAATGGGATTTGAGAAAAAAAAAAAAAAAAAAAA